CAATAAACCCAAGAATATTACAAGAACCAAACTAACTTAAATATAAACCCAAATTTTTTCACTATAGCAAGCTTGCACCTACTATGCCAAGGTAAATGGTTAGTAGTTGTTTATTTAGATCAACTTAGTTGAGTCATTAACAAATACATTTTTTGGTTTACCTTTCTTTTAGTTCATTGACTATCTACAGTGTTTTTATAAAATAAGTTCGTATTGTCCAATAAATGAGAAGCATATTTTGCCTTCTAATTAAAGTCTGTCAAATTTAGAGATTATTTGAGATTATTTTGTAAAGTTAATATTAGCGTTCGTTTGAAGCTAAAGATGATTTTTAACCGAATCTTTGTTAGTGAAACGTTACATTTTTAAAAAAGTACTTTAAAGTATATAAATAAGTTACCCAGGCAATTGATTTACATCAGCCAATCAGATGAAAGTCTGCCTATGAGCTGATCTGGGTAGACTTCCGGGTATTCCCAGCCAATCGCTAATGTTTGTTTACATCGGGTAAAATAGAATGCATCAATCCTATTTTACCCGATGTAAATAAACATCAGTGATTGGCTGAGAATACCCGGAAGTCTACCCAGATTAGCCCCGGTTAAACTTTCGGTTGACGGTTCAAAACACTAATTAAAACCATATGACTATATAGTTAAAATTTTGAAATCTGGCAAAGTAACACTTGGTCATATTTCAATATATTGGGCATGGCTTAGAAAAATTATCAACGAATTACCTGATGATGATGATTTTTTAGATTTTAAAGACCTAATGTTTGATGAAATCGATAATAGATGGGAGAAAGTTTACAATCCAATTTTTGTAATTACATAGTTCTTACATCCGTATTATCATGACGAAGGAATAAGATAAGAGAGACTTTTGCAACTACAAGAAGATGCATATAGTCTATTTTGCTTATTATATCCAGAAAAGATAATGATACATTTATTGATGAATGGTTAATGTATCAAAATTATAAAAAAATTTTTAAAAAAGATTCATTATTTAACCATCCTAGTATTGCCAAATCGCCTTTAAGGTATTGGCGAACTGTATTAATCTATGCACCAAATTTAGCTGAGTTCGCTTATAGACTTTTTTCTATACCACCAAACTCAGCAATATCTAAAAAAGTATAGTCATTAATAGGTAATATTTTTACAGAACAACGTAATCGATTGATGTCTTCTAAAACTGCTAAAATGGCAAAAATTGCCTGGTATTTAAAGAGTAAAGTAGATAAAATTAGTTTGACATCAACAACTAATATACAAGATAAAGATGACAAATTAGGTAATTGTAATTATGAAGTAGATAAGATAATAAGTAATTTAGAACAAGTTTTTTCAAACATAATTGATGATATAGAGGATTTAGATCCAGATAATCGAAATAACTTACCAACTATCTCTCTTTTCAAATTTTTTAATCCTCAATTAATTCATAATGTAATTAAATTAGATATTTAGCACTTTAGAAATAGAAATAGTATAGATATAAGAGCTAAGTATCGAAATTGTTAACATGTCTATTTTTACCTTTTTTTTGTAATATATTATATTAATAGATTAAATATTATTATTTTAATTATGATTTTTGTAACCTATAGATGAATTAAGATTGTGTAA